ATGGGGAGAAAGGCAGCACATCAAACTGCCATGTGTGTACCTATGCAACAATCTTGCATGTTCTTCGCATATACCCCAAAACCTAAAATGCAATTAAAAAAAAAAAAAAAGAAAATAATGACCCTCTCTAGACATAAGGAGGTGGTCAATAAATTCCAGAGGACAAAAAGACAATAGAATTGCTGTTCAAGTGGACAACTGTATTTCAACAAATTATTCCTTTATACTATGCTGAATTGAAGGAATGATACTGATAAATATTGCAAAGCCAAGACGCTTTTTTTGTTGTAGTGCCTGAGAATGTATAATTCCAGGAAGCTATTTCACCTAAAACCTCAGAGTTGGTGTATTATCTAGCTTGAGGTGATTTTACCAATAAGTTTTGCTTAAGCTAAGGTACATTCACACTGCAAGGTATAAAATAGCCTATTAGTATTCTTTATTTTATGGGCAAGTAGAACTTAATCCAAAATGGTCTGTTGGTAAGAAAAGCAGCAAATTTAAAAATAAATTTTAACATAAAAGAAAAAAAAACACTCTATAATTTCCTTTTATAGAGTGTTTTAGAAAATTCTCACTCCATGAAGTCGTAGTTGTTGCTGGGGATTTTTTTGTTGTTGTTTTTGGAGACAAAGTCTCACTCTGTCTCCAGGCTGCAGTGCAGTGGCAGGATCTCTGCTCACTGCAACCACCACCTCCTGGATTCAAGCAATTCTCCTTCCTCAGCCTCCCGAGTAGCTGGGATTTCAGGCATGCATGACCACACTCGACTTGTGTTTTTGTGAAGACAGGATTTCATCATGTTGGACAGGATTTCATCATGTTGGCCAGGCTGGTCTCGAACTCCTGACCTCAGGTGATCCACCTGCCTTGGACTCTCAGAGTGCTGGGATTACAGCTGTGAGCCACTGAGCCTGGCCTCCAGGAAGTTTTAAAATAATATTTTCCTGTCTTTCAAAGACTTTAGTGGGCCTCTTTTTTCATGTCTTTGCCCATTTCTAATCAAAATTATCTTCTTATTCTCATTAATTTTATTAAATTACTTTATCAACAAATTGCCTCATCCATCACCTCCATAACCATGAATTACAGTGTCATAAGATATATAGCAAAGGATAACATACCTTTATGATTGAACTCATGAAAGTCTGCTTTGCCACACTAATGCCCTGAAAGCTGATCTTTTCTTTTTTTGTCATGTTATGTGGTTCTTTTTATTTGTTAGGTATAAGTATGTTTGATAGTTTAAGGTTTAAGAAAACATACATGACTGAAGTCATTTCATACCATATAAACTACTATAAATATATTTTTAATGATGCTAAAAAGTTAATTTCTTTAGTGGCATTGTAATTGGCAAAGCATTAGCTGCTAAAACACACATTTTTTTTTTAAGTTTCCAATCTCATGTTGATATGACTGACATTTTTCCAGATCATTTCGAAAATGTGTGTAATTTTTTTTTGTTTTAAGATGGAGTCTCACTCTGTCACCCAGGCTGGAGCCCAGTGGCCTCATCTTGGCTTACTACAACATCCACCTCCCAGATTCAAGCTATTCTCCGACCTTAGCTTCCAGAGAAGCTGGGATCACAGGTGCACGCCACCACACACAGCTAATTTTTTTTGTTTTTAGTAGAGACTTTTGTGGAGATTTTTGTATTTTAGTAGAGACTAATTTTTGTATTTTAGTACAGACTGGGTTTCACCATGTTGGCCAGGCTGGTCTCGAACTCCTGACCTCAGGTGATCCACCCACTTCAGCCTTCCAAAGTGCTGGGATTACATGCATAAGTGACCAAGCCAGGCCAATAATTCTTAAGTTTTAAGCATAATGTCCCAAATAAAAAACTGATACTCTAGAATTTGTCACATTTTTCAGCAAAAGCTATATTGATTTCACTCTACTTCCATTGGCTTTAAAATATGATGAATAAAAATAACCTTAGTAATACACTATGTTAAGGGCAAACTTGCACACTACTTCTATTTAATGTGGAGGTCTGAGCTCCTTCTAAATATCAGTATTAACTGAGATATAAAACAAAAGAGAAAAAAAGGAAGAGAGAGGAGTGTTAAGAATATTGATTTCCATTTGGACTCATCAAGCTTGAAGTTCATGTAGGCTAAGTGAAAATGACAGGTACATAGTGAAATGAGTCTGGAGTACAGAAACTGACCTGGACTGGGTATACAAGCTGAAACATGATGGTTAGACCCAGGATATGAATGAGAGTGCACAACATTTACAAAAGAAGATCTGAAGATGAATCTTTGAAGAATGCCACATCATAGAAGGATGACAGAGAACAGTCAGTGAAGAAAAAGATGGAGTGATCTTTCAGGTGTATGGGGAACCAAAGGTTAACTATCACATCAGCCAAAGAAAGTGAGAATTCAAAAGAGAGTGTCTCACAGTGTCAAATATCAGAGGGGTCAAAGTAATATAGGTATTGGAAATTTTCCATTGCATTTAATATTAGGACATCATCAGCAACATCCATCCTAATAATTTGAATCAATGACAGAGGAAAAAAATAGACTACAATGAATTGAGGAATGAATGAAGGATTGAAAAAACATAGAGCTGGCAAAGACCCAGATACATCATTGAGGAATAATATGGTGCTATGTAGAAAGAAACACTGATTGGAGGGAGGGTTTTCCCTTCCCTTAGCACTAATAAAGATTAAGTGGATGATTGATGGTACAAGGATCCAGAGCCTCCTGCACGAGAGCATATATGTTTGGTAAAATTTACTACTTTCCCAGAGGCTGGCATCAGAGAAATATCTAAGATTATATTGTAATACCAACTGGGCACACAGTTACACAGTGCTTGTTCCCTGCTTATTCAAAAAGAAACATTTTTACACATAAGAACATATCTAAAGTTTTGACAACAAAAAAACTGTTTGCTATAATGTCTGACTGTTAGAATATATTGTGTAATATTTCATAGAAATTTATGAGTAAGCATTACTTTAGTAAAATAAGCTTAGGCCATACTAGAAAATGTTTATAATAAAGTCTCTCCCTCGTATCTGAAATTCTTCACCGGACTGCTGTAAGCTATGTTATTTCTTCCATCTTTTATTTTAAATGTAGTAAGTTTAATTATTATATCTTTCTAGTTATGATTCCCTTGCTTCTTAGCCTTCTGTAACTGATTACTAATGTCTACAATTATGTCCCACTGGCTAAAGTAGCTCTCTTTTATTTCTCATGCTAATACCTATGCTTAGATTTTTAGTGTTCACAAAAAATATAATAAACACATTTAATTCACTCAACAACTCAATGAGGTAGTGCAGTACGTTGAATTATTGTTTCCATTAATTTTTCTCCTTCCAATAGGCAAAGTACAGTGTATCACCAACCTCAGACTTTCTGTTTGACCGTATGACTTACCTGCAACAGTGGAGAGTGTGTACAGGTGCCAGTTGCCGATTGTGAGCAGAGGTTTTCAGAAGCAATGCCCCAAAGCTTTGCTTGCCCTCCTGAGAACACCATGCCCAATAGGGACCCCTCCTTCCACTCATGTTCCAGAAAGAGACAGTACTTGGTATAGAGCCAAGCCCTGCCAATCTCAGAAGAGCCCAGCCCAGTCACTGCCAGTTCACAGACATGCAATAGCAGAAGTCCTCTTTGCCACAGTAAAAGCTATCTAATGTAGATATATATTTAAACAGGAAAAAAAAATGTCTCACAGAGTTTAAAAAAATCAGTGGACCACCACTTACTAAGTGCATAACCAGAATTCAGATATTCTAAACATTAGACAAATTCTTTTTATCTAACATCACAGTGACTTCTCAACTAAAGAAGCTTAATTTCTTGAAGAAGTTATTCATATTTATACACAGCAGGCATTTGCCGTTGAAAAGCTTTCTGTCTCCCCAAATCCACCAGGAGTAGAAAATCTTTCTCCATTTACTATTCCATAAATATATTTACCTCTTGAGGCATGTAAATGCTCTACTTTCTCCATGTCTTTGTTTCATGTATATGAAATGCCTCTTATTTTTCATATCAGTTGTTTCCTAGCTAGGAGATTTATTTTAATATAATTAATGTGATCATAGAAGTAGTTATTAAATAGTCAACAATTTTGGATTTCATAGTGTCAATATTTCTATACCCAGATATCTGGTTCTTCTTAAATTGAGCTTAGAAAATACCTTTCTAACATGAAACTGAAAGTCTTGTTATGTACTAGAAGACCTGGAGTTTAGGACCATCATATCATGTTGATCAAGAAAATGTCCATGAAAATAAAAAGCAAGAAAATATAACATTACAGGCTTAAAAATACCAGGCCAACTAAGACACCAAAATGGCCTAGGATCACAGATAATTATCACTGTCAAATAATCAGTCATTCATTTGTTTGCTTAGTCATTCATTTAATCCATCAAACATGTGCATTAGTTAATTTGAGCTGCCATCACAAAATGCCATAAACTGGGTGGCTTAAACAAGAACAAGTTATTTTCTGACAATTCTAGAGACTGTGAATCTAAGATCAGGGTGTTAGCATGGTTGGATTCTGGCAAAGTCTCTCTTCCTGGCTTGCAGACAGCCACTTTCTCACTGTGGGTTTTCACATGGCAGAGAAAGTTTTCACATGGAGGGACAGACAGTGTGCAATCTCTCTGACATCTCTGCTTATAAATGAATTAATCCCATCATGAGGACTCATCTAAACCTAATTGTCTCTCAAAGGGCTCATCTCCTAAGACCATCACATTGGGGGTTAAAACTTCAAAATACGAATGGGGGAGGGACACACAATTCATAGCAAACACATATTGATCATTCATGTGCAGGATACTTTGCTAGGCACTGGGTGTATACTGGTAAAAGAGAGTATTATATTCCCTGCTCTCATGGAGCTGTTAGCCCAGTGGAGGGAATCTAGAAAATAAAATAATACCACTCCAAAGTAGTAGTCTAGGGAAAATATAGAGATTATGGGAACACATAAAAGAGGCATCTTACCCAGATATCCAGAGTCAGGGAAGAAGGCTTCCATGAAAAAGTGTCATGAAGCTGAAAATGACAGAATGAATATGGGTTAGCCAGGTGAAGGAGGCAGGAACAAGGGCTGGATACAGGCAGAAAAAAATGGCAAACGTTAATCCTCGAGTCAAGACAGAACTAAGTGCAATCAAGGTTATGAAATGAGGAGTAAATTATGAGCACTTTTTCTTTTAATTATACTTTTTGATAGGACAGGCAGGTGAGAGATGTTGCAGAGATAGTGAGGACCAGATCATTTAAGACTTTGTAAGCGCCAATTTACATGTGAAGACCAAACTGAAAATATTTTTAATGTCCTGGAGAAGGATTTTATAAAGCCCATCCCATAGAGTGCCAAGGAAAATTTATGTATGAAGGTAATGGAGAATGCTATATATATATATATATATATATGCAAAGTTTATGAAGATAATTCATTTTGAAATTTTGCATTGATATTATAGCATCATAATTTTCTCTTTAATTAGTAATCATATTTGAATTCAACATTGTGTGACCAAAGCACATGTACCTGACCATGTGTGTAATGGAACAGGCAAAAATATCAACAAAATTCTCCATAATAGCTACCAGTATCTTTAATGCCACAATCAGACTGTTCATTTACTGGGTCATTTTAAAACATTTACATGGATAAATCTGGAAACCATCATTCTCAGTAAACTGACACAAGAACAGAAAACCAAACACTGCATGTTATCACTCATAGGTGGGTGTTGAACAATTAGAACACATGGACACAAGGAGGGGAGCATCACATACACTGCGGTCAGTTGGGGGGCTAGGTGAGGGACAGCGGGGGATGGGGAGGGATAATGAGGGGAGAAATAGCAGATATAGGTGATGGGGGGAGGAAGGCAGCAAACCACCTTGCCATGTATGTACCTATGCAACAATCCTGCATGATCTGCATATGTACCCCAGAACTTAAAGTACAATTTTAAAAAAAAGGAAAAAAAAGAAAATGTGGTACAAATACACTATGGAATATTATGCAGCCATAAAAATAAATGAGTTCATGTTCTTTGCAAGGACATGGATGAAACTGGAAATCTCTTCTCCGCAAACTAATACAGGAAAAGAAAACCAAATACTGCATGTTCTCACTCATAATTGAGAGTTGAATAATTAGAACACATGGACACAGGAAAGGGTACATCACAGACCAGGGGACTGTTGGGGATAGGGGCAAAGGGAGGGAGAGCATTAGGACAAATACCTAATGAATACAGGTCTTAAAATCTAGATGACAAGTTGATGGGTAAAGTAAACCACCATGACACATGTATACCTATGTAACAAACCTTCACATTTTGTACATGTATCCCAGAACTTAAAGTATAATAAATAAAAATAAAAATAAAAAATTTTGTGGAAAAAAAAACTTATGGAAAATCTACTGTGAACCTGGCTCTATGAAGCTGTATCATCCTATGAATAATACAAACATCCCTGGCCTCATGGAGCTTACATCATAGGAGGAGAAAACAGAGCAACAGTAAACATAATAAATAAGTAAATTATATAGTACCTTCAAAAGTGATGCATGCTTTGGAGAATAGAAATGGAAGTACCTGTATTTGAAGTAGGTAAAAGTAGTCTTATACAGAAAATAAAGTCTGAACAAAACTTGGAGGGAATTCACCATGCAAATAGCTGAAGAACATATGGCAGAAAAAAGAATATTCCAGGTATTCTTTCCAGGAATCAATGCAAAGATCTTAACCAGAGGATATGTCTGCTGTGATCAAAGTACTAGAAGAAGGGTGATGTGGCTAGATTGCAATGAATGAGAAGTATAGTAGAAGATAAAGTCCACTTATAGAGAGGGAGTCATCTCAGGGAGCGTTCTGTAGGCTACTTGAAAGACTTTGTCTTTCACCATGAATGAATGCAAAGTTACTGGTGGGTCTTCAAGCAGAGGAGCTGTATGATCTGATTTACAGTTAAAATTAGTCACGTTAGTTACTATGGTAGGTAGAGTAATGAACCTTCCAAGATGTCTACATCCCAATCCCTGGAATCTGTGACTATATTACCTTACATGGCAAAAAGGAATTTACAGATGTGATTAAGGTTAAGGGCCCTGAGATGTATTATCTGAGTGATCCCAAGCTGATCACTTGAGTGAGGAAGGTGGAAAGTGGAAGAGGGAGACCCAAGACTTAGTCAGAGAGATGTAACATATGAAGGATTTTCTCTACCATTGCTGGCTATAAAGATGGTGGCCTCTAAAAGCAGGGAATGACACTTAGTTTACAGCTAATGAGACAATGGGGACCTTGGTTTTAGAACCACAAGGAACTGAATTGTCAACAATTCGAATGAACAGGAAACAGGTGCTCCCCTAGCATCTCCAGGAAATAATACAGCCTGCCAATACCTTAATTTTAGTCCAACAAGACCCATTTCAGACTTCTGATTTGTAGAACTATATAGTAATAAATGTGCACTGTTTTAAGCCACTTAGTCTGTGGCGATTTGTAACAGCAGCAACAGAAAACAATTAAATAATACAGTTACTGAGCAAAGAAAATATTATGGATAGTGAGGAGGAAGGAGGAAAGAGAAAGAAGAGTTGAGAAGCTATTGTAGTAATCAGGTAAGGATAAAGGTAGTAGCCATGAATACTAAAGCAGACCCCATTACTAGCTATCTTCTGAAGGCAGAGCCAACATGATTCCTGGCAGACTAGACATAGAGCATAAGGATATGTCAAAGATGGCTTTGAGATTTTTGACCTGAGTAATTGAAAAGATAGTATTTCCACTCATTAAGATGGAAAAGACTGTGGGAGGAACAGGATTGTGGGAGAGGTCAAGAGATCAATTTGGAGTGGACACTCTAGAGTAAGGAGTTGAATATGAGGTATGGGTTCATGAGAGAGTTCTGAGATGATAATATAAGTGTGAACGCCAGTGGCACATAGATTGTTGTTAAGTCATAGATTAGATGAACTCATGGAATAAGTGTTGATTGGTCTCTCTCTGGCTAAATATTCTTATATGAAAACATTTAATTTAAATATACATATATCTAATAAAGCAGTCGATAATATGCTTTCAGAAATTTTCCTTTCAGATCACTTCCTTTCAGGTAGGAGAAACACAGGACCCATAACAGTATGTGGAGATGTGGAAGAAGGATGCTTAGGACAGACGAGAAAGACACTGGAAGGATCCAGAATGAAGAAACTCAACAAACAAAAATAAACTGTGTTTGCTGGGCAGTTTTGCCTGATTTTTTCCCTAATTGATTAAGTAAAAAATAAAAATTAAATTTCTGACAGCATTCCATACTAGAAACTGAAGTATGCTTAACACAGTTGTACCTCAGTTATTGCTTAATTTGTCTTTGGGAAAAAAAGCTCCATCAGTTAAACAAACCTCTAGTTTCTTCAAATGCTATAATACCTTGAGAAAGACACCGGTAGCAGGTAAACCTGCAATAGGAGAGCCACTCTGAAACAGGAATGAACAGAGTCAATTGTCTATTTTTTCCCCACCACAAAAATGCCCAACCAGAAGGCTTGGCAAGTACCACAGGCAACTGTGCTAAGCGTTCTATCTGCGTCATTTCATTTAATTCCTTGCAACAATCCCTTGAGGTGGCTTTGTAATCACAGGTGAGAAAATTAAATTTTGGAGTAATTAAGAAACTTGTCCAGCATCATTCTCAGACCTAGAGAATGTCAGAGTCAGAAGTCAAATGCAAGTCAGACTGTTCCAAAGCTCACTCTCTTATCTGTGTGTTATGTTGCAGCTAGACAGTCACAGCCTTCCACTTTAATATATTCCTCGAATCTGCCCAATTTTTCCTGGTTACTGGAGTCAGTAGTACTTACTCTATGCCCATGTTATTTTATTTTATTTAGTTAATGTCACACATATCCTACTTTTCTTGTTCCTAGTTCTGTTTTCCTTTATGAGAATAAACCTATTTGTGGCTCCCTTTTCCTTGTAAGATTAAAAGCACAGTTCTTAATATGCTATTAAAATTCTTTGTTTTATATCTCCAGCCTCACATATCGTAAGTCCTTCTTGCCTTGCATCTTGTGTTCCAGCTACACCAACTGAAATGCACATCCCAGAATATGCCCTAAGCATGTGACCACTCTGCCATGAATACCACCCTCTTCACTTCAACAGGCATACACATCACCCTTGAAAAATTTATATTCAGGATTAAAACAGTGTAATAATATTCTCCTCATAATGCCTTCTCTCTACAAATAAGACATATTTACTGAGTTTTTGCTCTATGCCATACACTATTCTAAGCACCCTGAAAACTTTGACAGAGGTTATGTCTGTTCTCAAGAAACTACAATGTATCTTGAATATAGCCACATAAACAAAATTTACATATAATTTTAAAAATAATACTGCAGCCTGAAAAATTTTACGAATACACTCAATAATCCTCTCTGGTCTCAAGCCTTTCTTATCCTATTAAAAATTTCTACTAGTGTATCTAACATAATATTTATTGTTTCAAATTATGAGAGTCTTTTCTAATACTGTTAAGATGACATTAGAACTGTTTTAAAATATACATGTATGCATTTATTTATTTAGCAAATTGTATTTCCTTTATGAAAGAATATTCTTTATATGAACAAAATAAAAGAGCGAATATAAAAATAAATACAAGAATATAATGGATATAACTATAGTTGGAAAGAAATTCATTAAATTTGAAAACTAGAAGCATTAGTCTCTATAAAACAAAATGTTATTATGGGCCAATATACATCAGTTGGGTTCTTGGCTAGCCTTTAAATCACTCTCAAGTATTAATCCAGAACTATTGAGTGTAGTTAACTCTTTCACATCAAAATGGCCTATAAATGGCAGCAAATAAAAATGTAGGGAAGCAGTAAACCTTTGGAGTTGATAAATTGCTAAATCTTTCACAGTTGTATTTTTGCAGGAAATTAAACTCTAAAGATTAGTCGTTAAAATTATTTAGCTGTAGCTACTTTATTGTATCATATTGGCAATGTGTTTTGTTATATTTGGATATATATCTTTTGTAGGAGATGTAATGTCTACTATGTTCTTTATTTTCACATTTCTATAGTCATAAACTATATGCTATATATGCATATTCTACATTTTCACATATCTATAACCTATGTCAGCATTCTACATATATCATATTTTATATGTATTTCATATATTTAAATTTAATGTTAGAAAAAGCCGTAGTTCAGAAAAATTTGTAAACTTCCCCAAGACTTCAGAGCTAACAACTTAGCAGAGCTAGGATCCTGTCCT